ATAAATTATATTATTAATATATAACATATAATATATCAAGTAATACTGGGTATATTTCTGTACATATAAAGAATCAGCTGATACGAAAATTTATTGTATAAATCCTGACATGAAATAAAATATATACAATCCACTTTAGAACCTCAAGCATGTTATAATATGAACGTTATGGTTTTCAGACTTTCAGTTTATCATGGTTTTTGAGTATATCACTATATAGTATATAAATATATAATATACACATTTATATAATATTATTAACGATTTAGAAACGAAATTTGGATTTGATTATAGTGCTGTATGTTAAAATCAGATGGAAAAGTGTAAGCGAGTTTCAAATAATGGAATTTTGGGTTGAAATTGATATGTTCTTCGAGTGTTCCAGAATCTGAATCGAAAAGATCATAATTTGCATTATTCGGAATTCAATCATTTCATATGAGAGAAGTGATACAGAAATATATTGAAGATATTAAAAAAAAAAGAAGAAAAAAAGATTTTTCAAAAATGTGTAATACGACGGAGATATTGGCCATTTAGAATTCAGAGCACATAAAAATATATTCTGGACAAAGTGGTTTCAGATCTATTACAGTCCCCCTGCTGTAAATTAGACGTGTAAATGCTGCAGAGTTTATTACGTAGGCGAGCGCCTACCCCTAAGCGATTTCTGGATTAACCTCAGGAGTCTGACAGAATCCGGCGTTGTGCTTGCCCAATTGACTTGACATAAGCGCCAAAGTTGCGAAAATGACATAACATTTGTGTCAAAATGTGAAGGACATGAACGCCAATCTAATATTATATACCTGCTATATTCAATATACGACGTAAGCCTCAAGTATAAAAAATACACGTATAGAAAAAAGAAATATTATTTGCACCAGTAATAATTTTTATAATTTTTTTTTATACAAGTATTTCAAAATATTTAAAAATTTCAATAATCGATCAAATATAACATACATAAAAATAAATGAATAAACATTACATTTTATAAATTGGTTGATTTTTTAATCCAATTTTTTGCACATATTCTAATAGACTCACTTCCCCGGCCTGGTATTTCTTCCACTACACAATTGAGGATCTTTAGTCATTCTTAGTTTAGATCATTCTTTAGTCGTGGTGGCGAAGGCGGTCAAGGGTAAATCATGACGTTCAGTTAGGCGCTGTTGTAAGAACATTAGAAAGAAAGAAATGACATCCAAGCTCGAGCTATAATCGTTCAGGAACAGCTGTTGTGGAGGAGACTTCAACGAGCTACGAAGAGATGGGATGATAAGGGTAAATATGAAAAACAACGACATTTATACTCGGGTATGCTTCAGACCCTAACAGTGAAGGGACAACGACTGGTTATTGGTTCCAATGATTCAATTGTGTTAGGTCCGGGATTGTAATGTCCTAAAAAAATCGTAAGAAAACACTATACAAATTAGTTTCGAATGTATTTATTAGAGTTACTCTAGTCTCACTGTGGGCTCTCTATAAGCGTATAAAGTAAGAAAAATAGTATTTATTTTAATTTTTTAAATAATACTTCAATATTATAGGTAAGGTCTACTGATTGTTTTCTTCGAAATAATAACATAAAATTTACTTTATAATTAATTAACTTCAAGTTGTAATTTATACAATTATAATTTATTATCATCGATTACATGCAGTAATTGCTTTACGGATTATAATTTATAGCAAGTACATAAGTACATTGTTGTTTTTACATAATATACTTACATAACATAATATAAATTATAGACACTCTGAGTACCTACCACAAGTGTATTTCGAACAATTTCGTAGACCTTTCAAAAAGTCATTTTTTGGAAGTCATTGCATGAAATTAGTTCCCCGCTGTATCAACAAATTTGTTTTGAGTGAATTTAAATTTACAGGTCTGGCCATTGCCCGATTGGTCACACTCTCAAGCACGCCCATTCTAAGTAGCGTACTTATACTAGACAATAATTGCATTGCTTATTAGTTTATTATCAATTGTTATATGCCATATACATAGTACATACCTAGATTGTGCCTAAAACAAACAATGCATTGTAAATAATAATAATAATGATGTTATTGACTACTATTATTAAAACCTGTATACTTGACTGAAAACAGTGGCACACAGAGGTATTTTGAGAGCACATGCAGTTAAAAAAAGTTATCCTACCACCCACCTACTTTTTAAGACTAAAGGCGTACTCTTACTGCAGAAATTAATTATTACATAGACCATAATTATTAGTTTATATTACAAATGTATAAGCTTCCCTGTGACACTATAGTATATTAGTATTTACATCCCACCCCTTCGAAGCACACGTGCAGTTGCACTATTTGTTAACCTGTCTGCCACTGTCTGAAAACAGATAACGAATTAATGTGAGCAATGACATATGAGTGTCCAGCGAAGTGGGAGGCTGTTGCAACAAAGGTCATCTGCATTCGTCGTGGCACTGACTCGAAGACCCGATTCATGTCCTACGCATCCTTTTTTCATCATAGAAATTCCTTTGACTGCATTATGATAATTATACGATCCATCATTTATATGTTTTGCTTTGATTTTTTTTTTTTAAGTTTCCCTGGCATTGTCGTCCAAGCATGTCACATTTTTCGACATTACGAATGAAATATATCAAATATTATCAACAATATAAATCAAATAATAGATAATAATATGTTACATGCTTGTAAACTATTATGCGATACTGATGTACAGGGAAAACGGAAAGAAAAACGATGTACCTACTCAAACGAACGGTTAACGTCATACATACGGTTCAAATAGACACCGTTCGTCGGAACACTTGATAGTGACTACTGTGAAAGTCAAGATCGAAGAAACATATTTAGCAGTCCGTGGTAATATTACGTTGGGTAGGTACCAGCTACCTATGTAACTGCACATATTTTATATTGCGTTTAGATAGGTTGATAATATAATATAATTATTTATCGAGCTGCATATTATATAAATGCATGTGCGTGAGCCGCCGATGGCTATCGCGCGTTATGGTACACTATTATGCCGCCTTAGTGTACCGGCCGCCGGCCGGTATACGTACTAATGACGACGAGAGCTATGATATTATTTACTACCTGATATGTGCAAGCGCATTCTTCTACAAAACGATCGTTGTCGTGAAAACGTGAACGCGATCTCGGGCAACGATCGTTTCGGTGTGCAAGTTCGGTTAGTCTAAAAACCGGAAGTATCTATATGTCCGCCGCGGCGCCGCTCTTGTTAATTGGGCACCTGTACGCGCATCCGCTGTAGCGTAACGCGCACGCGCGGGCCGTACAATAATAATATACGGTATGCAGACATACACATCGTTCTTGAACGTATATTATACGTATACAGGGTGAAAAAACTCTAATTTTCTAGAACAAATTTACACCGCACGATCCGCGATGGTCGTTCATCTATATAATAGGTTTAAGTCATTGAGGAGCGGTGTAAGTATACCCGTAATTCAGCGGTTCCCGACCTTAGGTCGCGAACCAAATTAGGGAATTTTCAGCATGATTTTTTCCTTATATTTTCTTAAATTAATTGAATAACTGAAAATAATTGATAAAAGTTTGGAAAGCACTAACCTAACAATCTATCGATATAGATTTGATATTGGTTATTTTTGTGTATTACATAAGGGAATCTGATACATATATGCTTGAGAAAAGTATTTACTGATATTTTTCGCTTAGCAGGGTCGCATTCGAACGACGCACTCAGCAAGGCAATAATATAAGAATTGACTAAAAAACAAAAATCGAGACGATAACATTCGTTTTGGATTAAGAATTTTGTACCTCAAACTGCAGCGTTGAATAGAATAGAATATTTTTTTTTAAGCTGAAAATCACAAACACCGACTGATAATTATATATTTTTGTCTAATAATATATTGTTCATAAATACAGACAATAAACTGTTCCTGTAAATATTACCCATAGTCTATAGTTTGCCAATCATGTTTGCCTTGTAGATAATATGCTACATTAAAATAAAAAGTGATTTTTAAGCATGCCCACCCCCCATTTTTCTCTTTTATGTTACATTTATTCAAACTGTTGATATTTTTTGTACTTACCACTAAGGAGTGTCCTGTGATTATACAAACTTCTATGTTAAATGAAATACTCCCTTTTTTTATTGAATATTATTTATCTGATGAATTTCTCGAAAATTTTGATGTATCAAAATTTAATGAGTAATTTCCGAGTTATTAAAATGGGTATGCTAAGAATAATAATCCTTAAAATCGTTTACAAAAATACAAAATGTATACAATATTAGATGTAGGTAGTATTTATTATACTTGAACCATTTTTCAAAATTATTTATTTCGATAGGCCAATGGTCATTACTAAATACTAACATTTTCAAATCATCCGAGTCCACATCTTATCTACTTAATGTCTTAATCCATTGTACCATAAACATAAAATCCTTAGTACACAAAGTCGTATATAGCTCAAAAGCTACTCTTTGAATTTCGATTTAGGTACATCAAAATTCTCAACCAAAATATCTGCCGAACAATAAATTAAAAGTGAAAAAGAGCGGTTCACGTATTGAAAAATAACCGAAGTGTTCGTGTTGTCACTGAACCGTCCACAGGTGGTATACAAAAGACCTCAGTGTAACCACGGTATATATATATTCAAGTCTATATGCGAACATTCCAAAAATCCGAATCCGAACGTAGGCGCGTGCACTTATTATTATTATTATTATTACGTAATTCGAGCTTGAAAACAGTCGGGCCGGTGATCGGGCTTAAGAAACACACTGTATACGCACACAAACATAATATCTAAATATTATGACGTGCGGCGAAGTGACGGGCGCGGGAAAAACGCGAGCGGATAACAATAAGCGAAAGTGAAAGCTCGCGGGAAACGCTGTTTTCAGGTACTGGCGCAGTGGGCATCCGAGAGGAGCACATGGACTCTCGGCGGGTATAAATGGCCCTAGACCCGAGCACACACGTCACAGTCATCGTCCGTCCGCCGGCGCGACAACTGCTCATGCGCGTTCCGACAGAGTTCAATAACAATAATAAGTGTGCATAATATAGTCATAGTGTTCGAATTTCATCGAGTCAAAGCGACACTCGAAGCGCGTGAAATGGCGATCGCGTTGTCGTCGTCTCGGCTGTTGTTGTCCTTGTTGTGCGCCGCGAGTTGTTGCGTGCTGTCGTCGACTGCGGAACGTTTGCACAAGCGCCGCGTTGTAGACTTTGCCGGATTTTCTTCTGCCGGTCACCAGCAACAGGGATACGACTTCGGTGCCGGTCACGACCAGCAACAGGAATACGACTCCGGCGCCGGTCACGACCAGCAACAGGAATACGACTCCCATGCTGGCCACAACCAGCAACAGGGATACGACTTCGGCGCTGGCCACGACCAGCAACAGGGATACGACTTCGGCGCTGGTCACAAACAGCAACAGGAATACGACTTCGGTGCTGGTCACAAACAGCAACAGGAATACGACTTCGGTGCTGGTCACAATCAGCAACAGGAATACGACTTCGGTTCTAGCCAACATCAGCAGCCACAGCAGTACGTAGGCCACGGCGACGGGAAACATCCCAAAGTGTCAGTGATCGAGAAAAAGGTACCGGTGCCGGTACGCGTTGATGTGGTGAAACCTGTGCGGTACTTGGTACAGGTGCCGGTGGATCGGCCGCGCGCAGTGCACGTGCCCAAGCCGTACCCGGTCAAAGTGGAGAAGGATGTGCCGTACCCGGTCAAGGTGTACGAGCCGCAACCGTACCCGGTGCAGAAGGACGTCCCGGTGGCTGTCAAGGTGCCGTACGACCGTCCCGTGCCGGTGCACGTTGACAAGCCGTATCCCGTGTACAAGGAGAAGATCGTCCGGTACCCGGTGTACAAGCAGGTGCGTGTGCCCGTCAAAGTTCCATACGACAGACCGGTGCCCGTGCACGTTCCGGTCGTCAAAAAGGTGCCATTCCGTGTGGAAAAACCTGTGCCCGTGCCCGTCAAGGTGCCATTCATTAGACCTGTGCCGTACAACGTGTACAAAAACGTGCCCGTCCCGTATGAGAAGCCCGTTCCGTACCCGGTCGAGAAAAAAGTGCCATATCCGGTCCGAGTTCCGGTCCATGTGCCCGTCCACGTTCCCGTCAAGATCGAAAAACAACATTATCAACATCAACAACAACAACAACAACAACAGCATCAACTACATGAGAACCACTACACGCAACAGCATCATCCGCAGTCCGAAAAGTTCACCCAACAAGACGCCGTCGTAGATTTTGGAGGACACCACCACCACCAACAACAACAACAGCAACAACAGCAACAACAACAACAACAGCATCACTTTGTCCCGGACTTCAACTCGCAGCACAATCATCATTCGTCGTTTTGATGACTTGTGTCACAAAGTTAGTTTGACCGGGATAAACAGCTGCTAACCGATTCGTTTCGATTCGTTTTTTTAAATTGTTTGTACCTACCTAAAAATAATTATTAAATATTATGTCGTGTAAATAATACTATATATATATATAATATAAAACTTAAATAAAACCATCGACTTGTGTCCTTGCAGATAATTATCGATTTACATGTGCCTAATGTACCTAATTATCGCATATAAGTTCCTGTGTGGAAATGGCGTGTTACGCGCTGTACCAATTTATTTTTCAGTTTATTGATTACAAAATTTATTAATTATTAATAATAGTATTGTTGGATGTTGCCAGACGGTTCTCGCCTTCTTCGCGTGAGAAGAAATATCACCAGAAATCATCTATGCGGATAAAACCATGGTCCATGGCTATGTACGCCTATACAGTCGTTGGTGCAGCGGAAAATACGCTCAACCCATCAGGGATTTCACGATTGCCCGATAATTCGTCATTTTACCTGTGTGTAATATAAATACATAGGTATACCTACACCCAATGTACAGCTCCCTACAGCAAGTCGCAGCCAAATGGTGGCAGGGAAGTGAAAATCATCCCTCATAGCTCACAAATGTATTAATGTTTACATTTTAAATTGGGGGAAAAATTTAAAAATACGCATGGTTGTCGCCTCTGAAAAAAATGTCTAGCTGCGCCGCCGTTGTTATCGGGTAACAATTAATAATACAAATATGTACATGTAATCCTTACCTATATTTCGACGTAAGTTCGACCGACCGATGATCAACGTGTGATCAACGTAGAATAAACGTATTCGTATCACGAAAAATGTACGAATATATTGCAGTGGCGTAGCCAGGATTTTTTTTCGGGGGGGGGGGG